AGAATTTGAATGTCAATCCAGCCATAACCTGAACAAAGACCCTTTATGCTGAAGCATTTCTGTCTATGAAAGTAGCTGTAGCAGCAGAAACACTTCCATGCCAGTATAAATGTGTACAGATTCTCCACAGCCTGCTGCCTTAACTATGCTCCAATCAAGTTAAGTGTTAAAATTTTCTAGGCTTAGTGACAACAATATTTTACTTCATGGTATCTGATCCATCATAGCTGTTGGTGTGCATGCTCTTAGCCCGTGGCAAAGGCAAGATAATTTGAGTTGTTTTGCCCTGCTTCATTGAAAACTAAGATGACTCAAATTACTTTGAACTTGCTTCAGGCGAAGCTCACACACTTGGACAGCTATAATGGATCAACTGACGTGTAGTAAAAGATTGGTGGGGCTAAGCCCAGCGCTGAAATAGAGCAAAAGTCTGGTTTTTTACCCCCGGCACTTAACACAAAGACCAAACCTAACCTGAGCCTTTGAGAGCTACAACACATGAGTGAACAGATGAGTGAAAAACAACAACTGAAAAGCTCCTACATTTTGCAGCCCTCTTTGAGAGCAATGTTAGCCATAGAATAAGTTGAATACAGAGACGAAAATCTGGAGAGAATTATTCAGTTATCTTTGCTCCTAGCTACTCCAGGTTTGTCAGCTTTGCTTATTTTCCTCCTTTTCCTTCATCACCTTGTCCTTTCCTTACCTATTCCTGTCCCAGTCTGCTTCAACTATAATTCCCTGCTTTAGCAGTCTCAGTCAGCCTTTTCAAAACACGTAAAACTTCAAGATGTGTCCATCACTGGTGCCTGCAGCACCTGCATACTGTACATTTGTACACTGGATTATGATGTTATTTATCATTTCCATTAAGTAAAACCAGGGTTAATATTATCTTATACACTGACACTAACCCCTCCTGTTACCCTCTCTCAGTTTTCCACAAATTTATCTGAGGGTGCTCAAATTAAACCCAAATTTTAATTTATTTTCCACATTCATGTCAAGGCTCTTTTTAACCACTAAAATCCAAATATTACCACAAGCCCACCCAACAAATTCAAGTTGTACATCACTGAAACACATCTCTCTTTGCAGTGAAGTTTTACTGGTTCATATCAGAACAAGACTTTCACAAATGAAACTATTAAGAAAAAAAATTAAAACTACCTTCTAGTCATCTGGCACTACTGTGTATGTTCCTCGGTACCTACTCAAACAATATGTATACCATAGTACATTCTGAACACAAATGCACCATAATCTGTATCCCTTCCAATACTACTACTTATTAAAAAAGAATAGATGAGAGTATTAATTATTCCTGCCTATTACAAGTACTGTAGAGAAGCCCTATCATGTCAGACCATGCAGGAAACTGTCAATGACATTAGAAATTCTCCTTGAAAACTGACACCACAGAATGTGTCAGTAGTTTCTGATGATGTCAGATGAGAAACTGCAGCAGCAGCTAAGAACAGAGCAGTGCTCCCCCAAGACATCAGATCTGGCAAGATGTACTGAAATGCTGCAAGAATGTTTCTGAAATTGAGATTACTGAAATGTAATATCTCTTTTCGAAAACTTTACTGCATACAATTCATCAAGCCAAAGCTACAGTTCCAGGAAGAAAGGACCATCTGTTTTGCTTTGGACTTCTTTTTTTAAAACACACCTTTAATCAATTTTAATTTTTTTTTTACACACTGGAATGCAAAGAATTAATAACTTAAGAACTACATAAATGACTCAATGCATCTCACTGAAATACTGAATTCTCTGATTTTAATTATAATTAGCCAGAAAATAACTGCCTTCTTGTAATACAGACTCATTAAATCTGATACCTTTACTCTTTTAACCTACAACAGGGGCGACGAGGGCTCTAGATCTATTTCCACTCCAAGTTTTGTCCTCCATATACTGTATATGCCACTTGAAGGAGCATAATCTCTCATAGACCCATTTTTACACCCCAAATGGGAAACTACTTCTAACAACAATGGTGCTATGCTGAATACTGTCAAGGTTTTCAGAAACATGGAAATGGAAGGGTTGCATTATAAACCTTATCTTACATGCAATTTAAAATTAAATGCTTGTTAAAAGAGCCTTTGAAAGATCAGAAAAAAAATTGCACTGAAAGCAATACAGTATATTCACTCAAATGTTTCTCAGACTCAAAGCAAGATTATCATAAGATAAAAATTTATTAGAAGCTACATTTATCCCATATATCAAACTTCCCTAGTTCTATACTTTTGACTATGTACAACTAATCCATATAAATATATGAAAAGATAAAACTGAAAGACATGATGAAAGTAGCTGGTTGAATTTCCACAAATATCGTATCTTAAATGATCAACATCTAAAGTATTGATTACAAATGCAGTACCCTGAAACTGTCTGGTTGGTTTCCAAGTGATCTCACTTTTACAAGCTGTCTCGGTTTGAGAGACAGGTATCTGCCAAAAAGGCAAGAGCCTCCCTTTGAATAGACCGATGCAGCCCCTCTCCCTCCAAATTACTATAATTCCGAAACTAAGGGGGCTATTGGGCAAGAGTATGAGAAAATAGGAATAACAGTTCTTTATTGATCTATATCTACCAAGGCGAA